CCCTCTTCAGCTGCTGGACAGAGTCTTCCCCCATTTGAGATGTTGTTATAATATAATATCCTTCAAGTATTTGATGAGTTTCTTTTGTCATTAAACCTGCCCCTCTCCTCCTGTGTTTTAGTCTGTCACCCACAGACGCCATGCTCAAGGTTAGGTCTGTCCATCCCTGGGAAGTCAGAAAGGGTTAAAGGTCTTCCGTCTATGCTAGAATTTCACATAGCCTTCGTATTATCCCAGTCCTGCCTTTTTTGCCTTGTTCTATCAGCTAAATAAAATTTACATTTCTTGAAAGTTTGTTTGTTGACTTGTATCTTCATTTCAGGTGCAGGTGTGTTTAATTTCCACATAAAAAGGAAACAGCTCCATCTGAACCAGAGACATTAAATTGTTATATATTTATGATGTTATTTAATAGAGGATTGACCAGCATAAATCTGGGACAGGATGAGTTACTCCGAGGGCTTTTTCTGGTGGTAAAAGAACCTTTTTGTTTTGTAATTTATTGCCTTGAATCCTTCCGACATAGTAAATGGCCTGTAATTTGATTGATTGACAAACTGATCAATCACATTGATTTTTAAAATCCTCCCCTTAAGTGGCAAAAAGCCTTTGGTTTCAGGAAACCCAAAATCCAGAGCAAACAATTTGAGCAAGAAACGTGGGACATCAGAAAGGGAGTGTTTGGGTTTTCCCATCCCCGCAAATCTCCAGAGGAAGCCCCGACCTCAGGACCATTTTTTAAGCTGTCATAGCCTTGGAAGAATAGACCAAGACAGGATGGCTGCAAACGTTTACTGTCTCTGCCTGGCAACCGATGACGAGGAACAATTCAGAGGCTGTGATTGGCTCAGCTCAAATTTTCAGGCCGGGTGGGGGGAAAGTCCCCAGCCAGACACGCCACCCCTCCTGCATCGAGTGTGGGAAAGTCCCCGGGCCTGATCCTTCCTCCAGAGAGACAAGGGGGAGGAAGAAAGCAAGGCCGGAGGGGCAGCCAAGACCTCCGCCGTACATGAGAGACAAAGGCATTTATGAGATCACGACTGATGGGCTAGATTTCGACTGGCAGGGAATTCTAGTCCACTGTATATTTAGCTGGAGATGGGCAGATTCCTGCCTGTCCTTGTGAGAGATTCCCTGTGGGTGAAGCGCTAGAGACTGACTTTTGCGGGATGGGAGGAGAGGGGGGCTCCATAGAATCAGAGCCAGAGACCCCTCTACCAGCCTGTGAATCTCCCCCCAAAAAGGGGAACTGCCCATATGCACCCATGGGAAACCTTCCTCCAGAGGGTTCTAAGCAGACCCGCTTCCCGCTCTTGGGGTGTGTGTGTGTTACGAGCAGAACCTCTGGGCCCAAAGGCTGGGGGGGCCCTCCTGCCCGGCCCCCACCTGCTTCTCTTCCTTCAGGTCTCCCTCCCTCCCTCCCTCCACCACCAGCAGCCGCGGAGGGGAAGCCAAAGTGGGGGCGGTGTGTGTGTGTTCTCAGGTTTCGCTTCCCCACGCAAGAGGCTGCCTTCAGCGTTCGTGGAACTGAAACGGAGAAGCTGGGCCCGATCCAAGAGAGGAACGGCGCTCAGGAGGGAGCAAAACAAAGCCGCTTCGCGTTCCGACACCCTCAAAAAAGGGACCGAGGCAGCTGCCCTCCTCCAGCCCCCCAAGTATGCCTTTGCGCTTCTTTGAATGGCCGGTTGGTTAGCCGTGAAAGGGGGGAGAAGAGAGTAAAGGGGGCGCAGGCGGCAAACCCTCCGGCCGTGGAAAAGCAACAAACGAGGAGCAAGGCCGGGGGGAGGGGGTTCTGTTGCGGGGGTGCCTCTTTTTCACTTTCAGGCTGAAGGTTGCCAAACGTCCGGGACAGAAATAAATGTCTCTCCACGTCCCTTGGAAAAGGGGTGAGAATGTCTGTTGGCCTTCTTATGAGACCCCCCCCCTTCATCTTTTGGCAGAGAGGCAGGAATTGAACAAAGCAAGCGGGGGGGGCTCCCTTCCTCCCCTGCCGGGGTTCGCCAAAGGGTCCCTTCAGACAGACTCCTGCTCCTTCACGGGAACACAGAAGTGAAAGTAAAACTGAGAATCTTACCACCATGGGGTCGGGAAGGGGGCCTTTAAGGCCATCGAGTCCAACCTCTGGCTCTAGACAGACCAAAGGATATGTAGCTTTTCGTTTCGTGGCCTCGGAGATCCTGCGGGTTTAGGGGTCCCAGCGCTTCTCCCAGTCACGGTTCCAAAAATTCTAGCAGGGGACGGATCTGCGTTGGCAGACAGCCAAATCTCCCCCCTTCCTCGCAGGACCCCCCCGACCCCCCTTACGTTGGGTGGGTGCGCGTGGGTCGGACGGGAGGGGCAGTTTTGCCAAGAGAGTCTTAACCCCCTCGACCCCGCGCTTCTGTTTCTTACCCCAGACGCAGTCTTCTATACCCGCTCCACCTGTGGGCTGCAGATGGTGCCGCCCCCTGACAGAGGGGCTCTTGATGGGGGGGGGAGAGAAGTCGCTAGAAGTCGCTTCCAAGTTGCGGGGAAAAGAATATGACTCCAATCCCCTTCCTGCTCCCTCCCCCCCCCCATTAAGGAGACCTGGGGCAGCTTACAGCATTAAAAACACAATATTTAAAAGCTAAAAACAGTAAGTATACAAATATTTAAAAAGAACTAGGCAACTGTATCAAAACCCACACTGGCCAAAATGGTAAATAAAATCAATGGCAAAGAAAACAAATACTGAAAAGACATTTTAAAACACAACCATCCATTTTTTCAAAAATCCTCTCAGACCTTAAGAAAAAGCTTGCCTGAAGATAAAGGTCTTGGCCTGCTTGGAAAACAGTACTTAAGAAAAAGCTTGGCTGAAGAGAAAGGTCTTGGCCTGCTTACAAAAGACAGCAATGAATGGGGCCAGGCTAGCCTCCAGTGGGAGGGAGTTCCGCAGTCTGGGAGTAGCAGCAGACAAAGTCCTCTCCTGGGTCCCCACCAAATATACCTGTGATGGTGATGAGACCAAGAGAAAGGCCTTCCCTGATGATCATAATACCTGGGCAGACTCATGGAGGGAGTTACAGTCTTTTAGACAGCTTGGACCCAAGCCATTTAGGGCTTGATAGGTTCAAACGAGGGCCGTGGTGGCGCTGTGGGCTAAACCGCAGAAGCCTCTGTGCTGCAGGGTCAGAAGACCAGCAGTCATAAGATCAAATCCACGTGACGGAATGAGTGCCCGTCGCTTGTCCCAACTCTCACCAACCTAGCGGTTTGAAAGCATGCAAATGCAAGTAGATCAATAGGGACCACCTCGGTGGGAAGGTAACAGCGTTCCGTGTCTAAGTCGCACTGGCCATGTGACCACGGAAAGATTGTCTTCGGACAAACGCTGGCTCTATGGCTTGGAAACGGGGATGAGCCCCTAGAGTTGAAAACGACTGGACAAAAATTGTCTAGGGGAACCTTTACCTTTACCTTTACTTTACCTTTACCTTTACCTTTACCTTTACCTTTACCTTTACCTTTACCTTTACCTTTACCTAGGTTAAAACCATCCCCTTGACCTTCAGATCATCTTTGCTCCTTCCTCAAAGGTTTGCTTGGCTCTTCAGAAGGACACAAGTAAAAAAACCAATGGAGAGAGATCAAGGGACGCTGGAACAGAGAAAGCCAGAAGCCAGAGATCCCATCCAAATTTTTATAAAGAGGTGTGAATAATTCAAGGAGATCCATTAGGAAGCACAATGAGAAGATTTATTTTTTCAGAAAAACACTTGCAAATTTACAATATTAATAAATCACTGAGAAGGAAATATAGTCAGAAAGGGGACAGTATGTTAGAATCAGTCTCTAAATGCATGTCTGTCTCCTCCAGGAAAGCGAGAGCTGGAGATGCACTAACATCTGTCCTGCAGGGGCAACATCTGGATCCCAGTTCATCTGACCCCATCCAGAGGGACTGGGAGGAGGCCAGATGTTCCCTGACAAATTTCCCTCTAAACCCCCCTCCCTCCTTTTAACCAGAAACAAAGAAAGACTTCATCCTCAAAAACACCTTGTGAGAAGCCTCAGCCTGAACGAGGGGGAAATGCCCAAGGTCAGACCGTGGCCTTCACAGCTCTGTAGCTGGGACGTCTACCAGGATCACCCTGGAGTCAAGGAGCCGGGCCCTTTCTAGGCAGCTTGTGAAGACACCTCCCCCAGTTTGGCTCCCTTCACCTCCCCAAGAGAAAGGATCATCATCCTAATCAGTGCTAATTATGGAACAGCAGAAAGGCTGAAGTCTCTTCTGAGGAAGTTCTTGTCACACTGAATCAGTGAACCTGCTATAAAAGAGAGATTATGTCACCAGCAGGTTTTATTCCTCATTGGGAATATTGAAAGTAAACTTCAGTGTCAAATCTCAGATTCTGTTTGTACCCAGGTCCAAGGTCCAGAGGTTTTCAAAGGATCCCTATGAATATTCAGTGTCATCAGCTCTGGCTCAAATATTAGAGAGCCAACTATATTTAAGGCAATATTTACTAGTTGAAAAGCATGTATATCAAGTTTCAGCTAGTCCTGGACTCCCGTTTATTACAAATGTCCCATCTTTGATGAAGAAGAGCTTCAGGCTTTTGCAAAAGAAGACAGGAGAAAAAAATGCTTTTGAGATCTTGGACTAGTTACACAGGAGGGGGAAGAGCTGAGGTCATGGGGCCAATGTGGCTCTGTATTGCTCTACTTTACATATTGAATTGACCATTTGAGTTAGGATTAGGCATCCTTCAGTCTCGAGAGACTACGGTAACATTCTCTGAATGGAGGACTTGGAGGACTTGGAACAGCGTCTAGTGTGGAAGGCCAATTCGAGAGTGACCATCCCTTCCACACTGAAGACAAATACAATCTGTCCCCTGTCCAGCTCCCTGATTTTGCTGCTTTCGGGACTGCCTCTTTGCCTCGGCCTGCTGGGCAAGGATCTCTTCAAAATGGGAAAGGCCGTGATGCACCGCCTGCCTCCATGCTGAATGCTCAGATGTCAAGTTTTCCCATCTGTTGAGGTCAATAATTGACCATTATTATTTATTATTTAAAGACAGACCATGGATTGCTAGTAGTGACCAAGCCTTTGTCCAAAAGGAGCCTGCATTTTAAAATTAAAAGATGCTTTCACCTGATCTTAGCGGACGGGTCAAGCCCCACCAGGGAAATGCATGGGGATCCCATGGCCATCACATGCAGGACATGTGCGGAGCTTCAGTGGACACAGACATGGCTCAACAAGATCAAGAAATGGGCCTGGTTTCCTTCTTCTTCCTCTTGCACTCCCCCTACCCAAGGGGGGGGGAGAATGAGCAGGAGATCCCTGTATCTGGGCTGTTCTTTCTCCAAAGCTTCACCATCCCAACAAGGAAAGGCAGGCAGCGGGAGGAGAGATACAAGCTCAGCTCCGTGGTGGGATCTCAGGAAGGCCGGGAGGTCTAATGCAGGAGCGCAACTGTGCATGGAGAGGAGAGAGAGAGAGAGAGAGAGAGAAGGCGGGAAGAAGAGAGAAAGAGATCAAACCCTTAAGGTTCATGGGATCCTCTTCTTATAAAGCACTGAAGGTGGACCTTTTCATTACGCAAGCAGCTTCCCTTTCCCTGCCAATTCTAACCAAAAATATTGTGTTACAGAGATTTTTCAACAAAATCTCAGGTGTTCCCAGCATCGGTATCATCAGATCTCGCTAATTAACTTGGAAACCACCCACCGCTCCCTTTTTTTCATGGGGAATAAAGCTTGTTTTCAATAGAAACTTGGATTTGGGGCTTGGGACCCCGGACTTGATACCAAAGATGTGGACTTGGCATTTGGACCCAAAGAAGGGGCAACCTCCCTGGAAAGGGCCCCCTCCCTATCTCCCTGGGAGAAAGAGGAAGAGGAAGAGGAGGAAGAGAGCCCTGCAGACGCCTGTCATTTCCCAGCTGCCATTCAAAAGTTGGGACACTCAAGGCACCTCTTATCATCTGGTTCTGTGCATGACACCTGGATTGGGGGGTTGGGGTTCTTTGGGAGGGGTGACCAAGACACTTCTGGGCATTCCCCCAGGCCAGACATTAATTACCAAGCAGGCTGAGAAGTTCCCACTTGATGGAGGGCAACACAGAGGGCAACTCAGAGGGAGATCCTCCACCTGGACAAATGGGGGTAAAGACCTGCATTTGGAAGACCCTGGAAACCCATCTGGTGGGGGGCGAGGGACATCTGATGTGGTCTCCATTTTCACACCCCAAAACTGGGCATTCCCCCAGGCCAGACATTAATTACCAAGCAGGCTGAGAAGTTCCCACTTGATGGAGGGCAACACAGAGGGCAACTCAGAGGGAGATCCTCCACCTGGACAAATGGGGGTAAAACAGACTAAGGGGAGGTCTGAACCACCAGCAGTGGCTCCACCTTCTGGCGATCAGGAGAAAAACACTGAAGAAGGGACCCGGACACGCTTTAAGGTTTCTGTCTCTGGTGATCGATCTTGTCAGCTTCCAATGTAATTCCTGAGAAGGAAGCAGGGGAAGAAGGCGAGGGTCTTTCAGAAGGGCTTTAGAGAGCCCACTTTGACCCCTTATAGCCTCCCCTGGCCCAGGTGAGGAGAGCCACCCGACTCTCTCCAGAATGGGTGACCTGCATTTGGAAGACTCTGGAAACCCATCTGATGGGGGGGAGGGACATCTGGGGGGGCGTTGATGTGGTCTCCATTTTCACACCCCAAAATGCTACTTCCAGCTTTAAAAAAAACAAGAGAAAGGTGGAGTTACCTGGTGGCTGAGGAATGACTCTTTGTCCTGGAGAAGACAAAAAGGATGGGCTCAGTTTTAGGAGAGTCCCCACCCCAAGTCCCAACCCCTACAACACCCCCAAAGCCTTCCCAGCAACGCAAGAGGCAAAAAAAGAGAAGCAAAAAAGTTCACATTGAGGACACAATTAGGAAATGTTTGGAAGCCTCCACATAGCCCTCAGTCACTTCCTGGAAATGATCAGGGCTGACAATTATAAATAATGAATTCAAGTGGTTCCTTGATATTCAGTTTGTGGGTAGTGGAAGTTAGGCATGTGAATTCAGAAAATTCGGTCATTCTGAATCGTGCCCAGGACTAACCCTAAGCAAAGCCCCCTCCTCACCTTTATTATTCTTCCGGTCGATGAAGAGGGCGGGAGCCCAAAC